TGTTATTATTTGATTTCTTAGTGATAACCATTATTTCTGGAGTAAGATGGAATCTCAGTGTTGTTTTAATTTGCATCTCTCTAATAACTGGTGCTGATCATTCCTTCACGTACATTGGCCACTGTACTTTTTCCTCTGTGGAGTATCTTCATTTCACTTGCAAATGTTTTGACTGATCTTTTATTTTGGGAGGTCTTAGTTTTTGAGTGTTCTACATATTCTAGATATTAATCCTCTGTCTAAGAGACAGCTGGTAAAAATATTTTTTCCCATTCTGTAGGTTGTCTTTTCACTCTTGTTAGTTGTTTCTTTTGTTGTGTAGAATCCTTTTAATTTGATATGATCTCATTTGTCGATTCTCAGTACTATTTCCTGTGCAGCTGGGGTCCTGTTGAGAAATTCCTTGGCTATCGATGACTTCAAGAGTTTCACCTATTGTATCTTCCAGAAGGTTGAGTGTTTCTGTTTTAATGTTTAGTTCTTTGCTCCATTTTGATTTTGGTTTAGTACGTGGTGAGAGATAAGAGTCTAAATTCAATCTTCTGCATGTGGACAGTTTTCCAAACACCAAGCATGAAAGAGACCATCTTTCATCTAGTGTATGTTTTTGACCCCTTTTGCCAAAGATCAAATACTGTTGAATGTAACTGCACAAATATTAACTCGGCCATCTGAGCACTAAAACAGGGACTGCCAATGAGTAGCTAGTAAACATTATCAGTAAGTCAATATAAAATAAAATTGCACTTTGGTCATTTCAAGAATGCATATCAAAGAGATATTAGACTTCTTCAAAAAGTTAATTCCTGGTTTGGAAATTGCTGCTGCATTATAAAGCAAGTAATCACAGACCAAGAGATAAAAGTTAAACTTAACCATTTTTATTTGAAGTTTCACAAGAACCAAATGATATTGAGGAAAAAATTTTAAATTAATTTTTCCATTGTGATTGATGATACAGTGACAAAATGCATAAAGAGAAACTATGAGGTCATTTTTGGTAACTCATACAATATCTGCAAGTTACAGGAAAAAATCAGAGAAGACATTGAAATTCTATTGCATACCTTTGTACAATTAGACTCATATATGTTTGTATGTATGAGGAGTTAAATGTTTTTAGAAAAATTATTCCGTGAGATACATTAGTTATAGATGTATATCAATTTATATTGTGAAATAATTGATCAGAAATATATTTCTATGTTGTCCTAGTTTGCAATACACTCTTATGAGTAGAATTAGCAGAAAGTTCTTTCTCAAAATTAAAAATTATGTGGACCTTTTATTTACCTGGAGTGACAGATGTTGTTTTTAATTGTATTAATGAAGTGAAGTTGTTAAAACTATAGATTTTGATGGTCTAGCAAATGTATTTGCTAAAAAAGTGACTCAGACACTTAGCAGGACCCTATATAAAAATAAAAAAGGACTGGATGTGTAAGTCAGTTTAAAAGACCTGCATTCAATTCTTAGCAGTGCCTCTAAAATTTTAATCAGAAAACTCTATGACTAAGTTATCATATTTGTAAGTCATTATTATATTATATAAGAATACAAAACAAAACAATTATATTTTTCTCACTTTGAAGTTTCTATTGTTTCCTATTTATTGGAATGATCATTAGTATATTTTATAAGTGAAACAGTTTTTTTTAAAGGAAGAAGTTATCAGTTTTTCGGACATTTATGGCACTTTTCCCCTTGCTTTTTGTAAAAAGGGTGCCACGTCTTATTTTGTGCTGGGCTTTGTACCTTTATGAGGCTGTTCTCAACCCTCTGATCCTTCCTTCACTGGGGTGCCTCAAAACGGATGTGGACCACAGAGCCTCAGGAACATATCTCCTGCTCTTGTTTCTATGTTTTTTCTGGAGCATCTTTTCTTCACTTTGAAACAAAATTGTGTATCATCTACATTATCATTTCCTTAGCATTTCTTTGATTTCCTCGTATTTTAATTTGATGTACTTCTTTCTTTCTGTTATCCATGTAATATATGTGTAGGGGACCTTCATAGACAGACTCTGCTTTCATCTGGGGTGCACTTGAAGGCCATACTCCACATTCCTAATTGTATTACCCAAAACATATTCATCTCCATAGGGTACTAACAGAAAACATTTGTGAATAGACAGGAAAGATAATCTATATCACATAGCAGAAACACAATAAAACTATCATTTTGTAGATAATCCACTTCTTGAAAACTCCTCTTTTATCTACCTATCCACTATTTTCTTTCCTCACACAGTCTCTCTATGACCCTTCTGATTTCCTAAAATATTCAGATCTAGCACTACATCTGTCCACGAATAAACCAAAAGCCAGTAATGAGCTAAGGATCACCTGCTGTTCTTGATTCTGCTTCTTATTTCAGGTAAGATTCATTCCAAATTTCTAAAGTTTCTCCTACAAAAGACATGTTTCCTCCTAAGCCATAATTCTAAGAAAAGACATTCCCCATTTTCTTATCTTTTCCACTTCCTTTTCATTGTTTTTCTTCCAAATTCTACCATTCTTTAAAAATCTCCTATTTTCTTTTACTGAGCTTACTTGTGAATCAAATGTGCATTTGAAAATGTCATAAATATTTATGTTTTACTCTTTAGCTTTTAAAGCAAAAATGGGCTCAAAATAGTTCTGTTACTCTTGATAATTTTTAGAATTGGAAAGGATTCAAATGATTTAGTCAACAACTTTCTTTGGTTTTCAGAAATGGAAAACTCCATTAAGACTCAAATAAGTCATTTTAATGATGGACAGCTGTTATTATTAGAAATTTTCTTTTTATGAAAAGCCAAAATCTGTCTTCCTTCCAGTCTGAAGAAAAAAAAAAGGCTTATTTTTTCTAAATGAATGCAGGAAAAAGAAAGTATTCTAATTTTTCAAGATCCTTGGAAAATTTCCATAATCAGAAGTTGACAAAATTTCTGTCTCATAAGCATTTAATATGGCTATTCATTATTAAATAGTTTTTAAAATATTTTACTTATTATCATTTTATTTATTATCATGGATTAGGAAGACTTTTGTAGGATAAGGTAATTACCAATTGTAATATTATTCTATTGGAAAATAAAGTTTCATTTCAAAAACACACATCTCTAAATGAACCTTTACTTTCCCAAACTGAAACACTTTTTCTTTTATTTGGGGTATCGAGGATTGAACTCAGGGCCTTTGCTTGCGAAGCAGGTGGTGGCACCACCGAGCTAAATTCCCGGCCTCCGTACTGAAATATTTTAATATGAACTAAGTGCAGAGTGCTAGGGAGGTGGAAATTTTTGTAATAATTCAGTACTTTTTGATAACAGTGGAAAGAAATCAATTTAATGTTGTTGCTTTTGTTAGTCTTCATAAAATATATGAACTTTAGGGTAAAGTTATATAGGCAGCTACTAAATCAGTTGGTCCTGTTTGTAGTTACAGTTAAAATCAACCACAGATACCAATTTTCAGAAAGAATTCCATAAAGTTACAAAAGCAAACTTGAATTTATTACATGCCCAGTATTTTCTTTTTATTACTGAGAAATGAACCCAGGATCTTTACACTGTGGCTACATCCTCATCCCTTTTTAATTTCTTGTTTAGAGACAGGGTCTCTTGCTAAGTGAAGTCTTTTGCTTAGTTGCCTAGGTTGGGCTTGAATTTACCATGCTGCTTCAGCCTCCCAGAGTGCTGGGATTACATGCATGAGCTACTGCACTTGGGTGTCAAGGACTGCATTGAATCTACACCTCTGAAGTGCAGGCTTTGTGTTAAGTATTATAAGTAATCTAGAGATAATTTAAAGCATTTGTGATTTTAAAATAGGGGACCTGAGCATCAGATTTTATCTACAAGGAGCCTCTGAATCATCCTCCACAGACACCACAGTACCTGAAATTTCAAATATACTAAAATAGGAAGACAAAATACAATATTCTCCAGGAAGACTTTATGTGCAGCTCAACATTCAGACTGAGCACAGTAAGAGCAGGAGCCAGCTCAGAGGGTAGGAGAAGTGGCCACTGCCCTGACAGGCAGCTGCAGGCCTTCCTCCCTCTTTCCACGGATTAGGACTTGTAGCAGTACATACAGCTGTCAGCATAGATGTCCAGACATATTTTTCTCCTCTGATACTGGCTTCTGTACAGACTAGTGTGGCACCTGTTCTCATGGTCACAGAGCCAGTAACTCTGTAAGCAGAGCCTCCAAGGGCTGCATGTTCTCCTGAAGACTGTCTATTCAAGCATATCCACTGAAAGATCATTTTATTGACTTTATTATGAAGATAACTTTAGTTCACCAATCACCAGAGTATAGCATCTTTTTTCCTTCATGGATCAAAGGAACTATTAATTTTCAACACTTTGTATTCAAACAAAATTGTTAAGTTACACATTTATCTTGTACAATGAGCATTTTAGAACCCACTAAGGGGATTCATATGATCATCTAACTGTAGTAGGGATTACTAGGTAATACAAATCAACCTTTACTTTAATTACAGCATTGAAGTGTAACTTTAAATCTGATGTTGAAAAATTATCACCCTTAAACATTGATTCATAAGTTCATTACCAATAGTCACCTCTTTCTTGAAGTATCTTATATCTCTATTTCATTTATTTAATTAATTAGTTTTTTGTGGTACCAGGGATCGAACTCAGGACCTTGCACTTGCAAGGCAGGAGCAGTGGCAATAAGCTAAATCCCCGGGTATATTACTATTTTAAAATTAAACTAGAGCCAATTTACAGTAATGCATTTTTATAAATATATGTTTAGAGATTATTGAAAAGGATTTTCAGGCTGAAAAATGACAGGAAAGCTGGATAGATTAATGTAATGCTTAGAAAAATATCAGTGTATGAACTGTCTCCTGGAAATAAGCTTGGCACTTTTGAAAGCATTAGTAAATCTTAGTAGCCTGAAATGATTAGGTGTTAGGAGGATCTCCAAATCATCTATCCCTTAATATTTTTTATTTCGTTACCACTTTTGGAGCTTCAGCTGCTAGTATTTCCTCTCCGTTTCAGTCTGAGGTTCATCTACTTTTAGTCTTCCTTTGAAAGAAACCATGGTACTGTCTGCTCCAAGGTACTCACCAAGGGCAAGCATCATTTTTGGAGATATTATTCTAGATAAAAACAGAGAAAAGGTTATTGTTTGCTAAGATCCTTAAAGTGATCAAATAGACTACTGTGCAAACTTTTTGATCACCTACATGACACCACAAGTGGAAATTCTCACACCTGACCTGATGGATGGGTCACAGTTCTTATGCTTTGTAATCAGATTAAAAATTTGGGTTTGAAATCTTGTTCCAGCACATATTAGCTACTTAACCCAGCAGAAATTACTCCTTAAACCTTGGATTCTGTGAATGGGATAAAATTTATGCAAAACCATCAACACAGTAACTGTATTGGACTGTACTGGACACTCTACAAATGTTAGATGTGGTCTCCAGGCTGAATCCATCCATAAATACACAGAACTCATTGCATGGACCTCATAGTATGGAGGTGTAGGAACTAAGTGAAATTTCCCTAAGTGAAATGAGGAATTTGTGAATTAGTTTTTAGCACCACGTTCAGAATTTTTAACTTTCTTCTCAAACTAGATTTCTACCTTGTCAAACTACATTGAGCAAAACAAAAAATATAAAACAAACATGCAAGCAAACAGACAAAAAACCCAAAGCCTCCCAAATAACTTGGGTGCTACTTGTTTTTGTGTTGAAACAAATAATGTGTGCTCTGCAAGGCCTAAAGAGTTGCTAAATCTTGTCAATATCTGAAATAACCAAGACACACCTAACAATACTTTAGTAAATTGTCATTGCACTACCAAATGTCTCTCTCTCAATCATTAAAAAATGTGAAGTTGCTTTCTAGATCAATGAAGTAGTGATGATTGGACAATTTGTTCACAAATAACCAGGAAAGTGAGGTCATTATTAACTTACTGTTTAAGGAACATTGCAATATATGTAAATTTGGGTAACGAGAGGTAAACTTGTTCCTCTAAAATAGTGTTGACAACTTTTTGGGCCACACACTCTGGCTCCATTATAGGTAACAGAAATGGATACCTAGAGTAGCAATAACAAAAGTTATATCATCAGACTAGAACTTTTCACCATCATCATGAGCATCAATTACTAAATTTCAGACATGGAGTTATCACATACAGCTACAAACAGTCAAAAATAAGTTGTCTGATGTTTTCTTTCATGGTTGATATTGGCATCAATGCTAACATATTTACTTTCCTCTAATGCACTCCCTCATTTTGTTTATTGACTTATGTGGTGACCTGAACATATGGAAACAATTGCTTTTAGATTGTTTTGTATCTTTCTTCCCTCTCTCTTCCTCAAAAACATCAAGTGATTGTATAGTATTGAGCAAAATTACAAAAATTATTTTTACCAAAACATCTCATGAGCATGTGTAATATATCATTTTAGGGAGATAATTATTATAACATTAAGCAGAAATAGATGTTTGTGAGATATATAGGCACTGAAGTGAATGAGATTATAAAGCTCTATAAGGTATTCTTTGATATTTTGCTTTTATATTACTGTCTCAATTATTTGAACCACTTTCCTTTGAAAAATTCTGTTTATCTCAATTTATTCTTAGAATCTGATCAATTATCTATAATTTCCAATAAGTCTTTTTTTTCCTCATTGAGTTTATTGGTACATTTTAGGTATACGGTACAGTTTCATTCTTTATTGGGATCTTGTACCTTTACATGACAGGTCCTGGTTCTCATTTTTTTCCCCTTGTCCCTGCCTTCCCTTCACCCCCTCCTCCACTCCCCATTTACAAACACTTTATTTTCATTTTTTCATTTTCTTCTATTTTTTTCTTTTCCCTTATTACTTTTCCCCTACTCTTCCCACTTTTCCTACACTTTTAGCTCTTTTCTTCCTATTTAATATTGTCAATTATATCATTAGGATCTTATGTACTGCTATAGTTTATTCACACCAGAGAAACTATTTGGTATTTACACGTGTGACTTATTTATTTCACTTAGGAGTATATCCTCAATATGTATCCATTTTCCTATGAATGAATCTAATTTCTCATTCTTTATGGCTGAGTAGTATTCAATTTCCCAATTAGTCTTTATAGTTTTTTTTTCTCCTGAAAGTTCCTTAGAACTCTAGTCTAAAGGTCTCCAACATTTATCTACAACTGTAATTTACATATTAGTTTTTTCTTTCATCTTTCATAATTTTTAGATTATTAATATTTCCTTTTCTGGTGACATCCCTGTTAGCGCGTGTGTACTTAGGAACCTCAAATTTATACATCATCACTTAACATCATAGTCTTCACTGCCTATCATTGCTGGCTGGTCACTTTCCTTCAGTGATCTTGACAATGTAGCTGTTAATAGCACATGATCACATGTTATTATCAATTCTTACTAATATTACTGTTTTAAAATAATGTTAGAAACAAAGTAAATAAAAATACATGCATAGGAATAAACATATATACTTCATGTATTGATATAAAATATGATTTATAAAGAAAGTAAAGCATGTACTAATTTTTATTATAAGTTTCATATAATCAATTACTTTTCACAAAATGCTTTGATTGATTTTTGCTGAATACTGGCATCACATATGTTCTATTGCATAAACATGCTGTTTTTGTTTTGCTACTTTTTAAGTATGACTAATGCTATATAAACATGAGTTACAATTTTACAGGTGCCTATCCGTTTTCATAAAACATAGGTATAAAATTAGTGGCCACATAGTAACTGTTTAACATTTTGAGAAACTGTCAAAGTATTTTTCAAAGCAGCTGAATTAATTTACAATACCACCAGCAATGTTTCAGGGTTCCTCCTCATGAAGATGTGTACTATTTTCCTTTGAATGTTTTGTGGTTTTATCTTTCACATTTAGGGTTTTTAATCTAATTGGAGTTAATATTTTTATATAATGTAGGGGTTAGCGTTCATTTCATTTTTGCATAAGAAGTTCTTCCAGTTGTCTCAGATCTGTTTGTTGAAAAGACTGCTATTTTTCACCTTGAATTATCTTGGCTGAAAAATCAACAGTATAAATGTAAAGGTTTGTTTCTGGACTCCCAGTACTGTTCTGTTGATCTGTATGTCCATCCTTATGTTGGTACTACAGTCTTGATTAGTTTAATACTGTATCGATTTTGGGCAAGGGATTTAGCTCAGTGATTCTGCTGCCTGTCTCGCTAGAGAAAGAACCAGAGTTCGTTCCCCAGTACAAAAAAACAAAACAATTGTATCAGTTTTGAAATTGGGAAGATTATGAGGTATATTGTATCTATGAGACTGGCTTTGGTCTTCACCTGATAGAACCTGCGTTAGGGCACAGGAGATGGCATGATCATTCTGCACTGATTACTTCACCCAAATTGGCCCTATACATCACTATACAAAAGTTGCAAGTGGATGGCAGGATCACTTAGTGCCATCCAGCTGCTGCCACCACCCTGTGTAGATTTTCTGTGGCCCAGAGGTGGAAATGATAAGATTTGGTGATATTAGCTGTCTAATAAATCTACCTAAAATTGGTCTTTTTTCTTAGGAGATTTGGAAACTGGCATTTTAGTACAGGGCTTATTGGAGCAGATCTCTTAAAACAAAGAGCTGCTGTGGAAAGAGAAACTGCGTCCTTCACTAGCCATTGCTTTCCAGTTTTTTTCCTGCCTAGTGGGAGCTGGAGGAACAAATCTGTCCGCCTGAGGCTATCTACTCCATACAGGCTTCTACTGCAAGGAATTGTTGAAAACAACCTCTGTCAGTGCCTATCTATGTTAAACTATATGGAAGAGCTTTGGAAAGATGGAAATTGCTCCTTGGTTGCCAAGTCCACTGAAACAGCTATCCCACAAGGGACAGATGCAGTGTTACCCAAATGGCATGGCCTTCCCGTGATCTGACTGAGTTTCCATAGACTTTGCTGTATAAATGCTTCTCAACTTTTGGCATGCCTTTTTGATCATTCTCAAAGATTTTAAATGGTTGTCCATACTAATTTGGACTCATTTATTACATGTGTCCTTGGTAGGAAGTTTTTACTCTATATTCTGTCAACTCTTTGCTATCTGCTTTGGAACTTTCTATTTAATTTTATAGCTTCATTATATTCTGAGGTATTGAGGCTTCAATACCTTTTAGTTCTTTTGGTAGCTGTCTGTCATTACTACAAATATGGCTAATATATTTTATTTATGTTACATCAGTTCCTTTTCTAACAATTGTAATAACTATACTAGTTCTCATATTAACTGGGAAAGTCCTGGTGTTTAATTTGCTTTCCGGTTTGGACTGTTCAAGGTAAATCTAATCTTTATAACAAAATATCACTCTAACATTTCCTCTTATATATTACTAAATCTTACAAAACATTTTCTCTGGGGGTGTTTTACTTTATTTTTTTAGTAAAGAAATTATCTCCTTAGTAATATATTATCAACTATTTTAATAAGCTCCCATTACCAATTTGCTTGTATCAATTTGCTCATTACCAATATCCAGTAATATTCTGATTAGCATTTCAGGAATAAATTTTTATCACTCTGTAAACTTCATAAGTATAGTATTATTTTTGAGTCAAATAAATTTATTAATTTCATATTTATTGATTTTTTCTTTTACTACATTAACCATTCCTGTTTTTCTTTTGTTTTATCATCATATTTCAAAACTTCAAAATGATATGATGATATGCATATATTAGAAAATATTTTAGAAAAGCAGAAATTACTTCAAGAGTTCACTTACTTGGTTGTGCAGCCCTCAAACATTTCAGTATTGAAGAAGAAGGGGCAAATGATGGTGGTTTTAATTTTGTTTTCCTTTATGTTGTTTAATTCAACGAAGACAGACTCAGCAAAGCCAAAGGCTGCAAATTTACTTGCACAGTAATCTGGAACAAGGTGAAGAACCATTATTTATAGAGTTTCACAAGTTAATTCTTGGAATTATCTTAAACATATCAAAACAACACAAAACCTCCTTTTTATTCTCTGGTTTGTCCCTGAGGACAGATCATCACTACTAATATTTATGTGACTAAACGTTTCACTTTAGCTCCATACTATACAACTAATGAAAAGAAGAAATCATTCTAACTTCTGTTAATCTAAGAAGACCAATGAAAAAATAAGTATATTCTTCTGTTTAATCAAAAGAAGGAGAATATCTTCTTCCACCACTGCCATTATAATTAGAGAAGTAGAAGGGAACCCTGGCATAATAAATAGAGCCAAATGTTTCAAGATTTTCTCTGGGACGGGAAGAGCTTCTCTCCTTCTTGTAAGAGTTCTAATTTGTGGGTGCTGTTGACTGGGGAATAAAAAGATGCATGGTGAAATCAAGTGCTCACCTGATAGTCCCTTAATACCAACCATTCCTGCTATACTTGAAATACAGACCAAGTGACCATGGTTAGCTTAAATCATGGCAGGAAGAAAGGCTTTATAAGTCTGGAAGATATAAATACACTGTGTTATTGTTTCATCCATTGATTACTTTGTTTAGTAAGTATATGATGAATTTACTAATCATTTAACAAATATTTATTCAGCAGTCATATGTATTAAATCTTGTGGCAGTACAAAAGAAGCAAATAGCCGCACTCTGCAAGGAGTTTAGGGTTTATTATGTGTTCATTAAGAAGAGATATGATCTTTTTCTTTAGAAGAAGCTCTATTAAATTAAATCAGATGAGATTTCCCACATTTATGGTTGACTAAAATCCTTTTTTTTTTTTTTGGTACTGGGGATTGAACTCGGGTCCTTGTGCTTGCAAGGCAGGCCACCGAACCACTGAGCTAAGTCCCCGGCCCTAAAATCTTAAGATTTAGATTATATATTGTGCTGAATTCTTTCATGTATTTTCCCACAATTTGGGTTAAAATTTAATTCCACTTGCTTTCTAGACTTTGCCGTAAACAAGATTTCCCTTACCCCACAGGATTACAGAATGAGGGAAATTCCACAAAGCAAAAATGAATTCCAATATTTATCCTGCAAGTAAAGTCTATGTACTTTGCAAATGTCTACTATGATTTATATTCTTAACTGTTTTGGTGAACTTCACCCATCCATCTGTAAGCATGGCATTGATTCCATTTTCTAAATCTCCAAGCCTTAAAAAAAAAAACAAATCTCATTTCTTTTCCCTGTACCTCATAGGTCCTTAGGTAAACTTCTCATACTTTCTTCTCTAATACTGTTTTTTTTTTTTTTTTTTTTTTTTTTTTTTTTTTTTTTTTTTACTTAAACTTTGTTGTGGTTTCAGTCTGGATGTCCCCCCTCAAAGTCTCATTCAGTCAGAGGTGGCTGAGTCTGGAATGTGTGATGCTGGATTTAAGAGTGTGTGATCACTAAACCACTACACGTGAGAGAGTGGCTTAGCACCCACTCCTAATCCTGGTAGTCTGGATGGGATAAAAGAGGCAGAAAGACATGGTAAAGGCCCCTTGCTGCCTTTGCTACCTTGTGCACACTGTGTTGTTTCTCTTTTGCAAGGCCTGTTTGTCATCGTTGTCTTGGAGCCAGCTGACTATGGACAGAAAACTCTGTGAAATAAACCTTTTCCCCTTCAACTCTGGGTGTCAGATATTTTGTCTCAGCAACAAGAAAAAACTAACATAAACGTTGTTCATAAATAATTATCAAAATCTTGGAAACAAGGTAGATATGATTTCATGCTAAGGCATTTTCTAATAAACTTGCTTCATGGTCATTTCTCTTTGTGGTGCAGTGCAACTTTGATAGTGATCAGGCCCCAGAAATTCACAATCTTGTAACATGCAGAATTTTTTTTTTTTTTTTTTTTTTTTTTTTGGTACTGGGGATCAAACTAAGAACCTTGTGCTTGCAAGACAGGTGGTGGCACCACTGAGCTAAATCCCTGGCCCATTAATTGTGTTCTTTTGGTCTAATAGCAAAGATAACACCAGAGTTAAGAGTTTAGCTACTTTAGTTCAACATTCCTTTCCCCATGAGTATATAAATCATTCGTATATCACATTGTATATCACATATCACATGAATATATAAATCATAATTTTGTTGGCTGTATAATTCTGCTGGTTTGTCCATAAATGAGTTTAATAAAATTTTGACAATTCTCATCATCTGTTTAGATGAGATTCATGATTTTAACAAAGTCAGAATTTCATTATTTATGGTTTTAGGAAGTCTGCCCAGATGTGCTCATCTATGGAGAGCAGCTATGGGAGCAAAAAATAGCATATTTGCTTTCAAAGTCACTAACCTTGTTCTCTAACTGCTGAACTAATGGGTGAGTGTCTGCTTATGTGGAGACAATTGACCTCTTTTGACACTTCACGTAACAATTTATGCATTTGTGTTTTGTGGTCATGACATAGGCATCATTCGAAATTAAAACCTGAAAACTCTTGTTGCATCAGGCATGACCATAGCTAGTTAGGAATGACAAGAGCTAGTAAATACCACTAAGTGAGGGGGGAAAGGGAGATACATATACAGTGGATGTTCTGAACAAAAGGGTGATTCATGTCACGGGTGAGATAGAGTGCTTTGGTGTGAGATTTCATCCTGCTACTCAAAGTATGGCTTCAAAATATGGTTGACCAGAGGTAACTAAAACTGAAGAAAGCAAAACTGGATTCCAGAGGATTACTGTATAGAAGTTTCATCTGTGTTTGCGGCCGTGTGTATCAGGGAAGAACTTCTTAAAGAACATTTTGAAGATGGAATGGTAATAAAAATCATCATTTGTTACTCATTTGTCTTCACTAGATAGATCTTTGTTGTCAAGAATGTATTTTAATCTTTTAAAGGTAGTTTTAGCTCTTGGGAAATTATCGGAGAATTACATGTTGACCCAGGTTACATATTGCCCAAAACCAAACTAAATGTGTGAACAAATCAGACTTGTTTGATAAATAGTACTGACTCCTTAATTTTATCATGTGTGGGATATAATGTGTAAAAGCATAAGAATTGTTTGATTTAATTTTATTGTATTTATATAAGACTTTTTTCTGTGAAAAATCTGATGAATGAACTTATGTTTAAAAATATTTCCAGGCTGGATTTGTAAATTTACATATTTTGGTTAAACTTTGACACTGGAATGAGTTAAAAAAACATTCCATTTTGGATTTTTATTTACTCAAAGAATTATGTTCTTAAAGAAATACCTGAGCTCTTTGTGCTACTTGTTATCAGTAGTTCCTGATTTTCAGGCTTGATAGTACTTTGGTGTGATTATAAATCGTCAAACAGGTAGAGGGAAGGGTAAATCCCTATACTGCTGTGCTAGTTACTCTTTCTTGTTGGTGAGATGAATACCTGACATCCAAAGTTAAAGGAGGAAAGTCTATTTAGCTCACAGTTTGTAGAGGTTTCAGTCTATAATTGGCTGGATCTAAGGCACCGTGGTATGGCAAACAGGCATTGCAGAGGAGAAATAGTTCCTGGTGGGCAGAAGGTAGCAAAAAAAAAAAAAAAAAAAAAAAAAAAAAAAAAAAAAAAAAAAATTATTTTTAAGACTTTAATA